AATATATTTTTATTTTTTCACGTTCATTTTATTTTAAAAAAACTTTTTTTTCTGACAGTGAGATGTTATGGACCATAGGGACTCATCTTTTTTTTTTTTTAACGTTGAAGTTTTATGTTATTTTTAAAAAAAAATACTAATATTTTATTTTTGGTTATCAGTGAGTTATTATGGATTATTTTTACAAAGTTTTATTTTTTTGCAAATTACAAAAAATATTTTAAATGATCAACTCTTAAAATAAATACATTTAAAAATATTTTTTCATTTTCTACGAAAATAATTTTTTAAATTGAGCCGTTTGACAAGTTGAACCAGCTAGTAAACTATTAAAGTCGCTACCAATTATAGTGACTTTTACATGACTGAATTCAAGTGATCATTAAAAAAAATAACACATAATATTAAAGTTGCTAACAACTTTATAGTTAACAATTCAAAAAAATATAAATAATTTCAAAACAATCTCATTTACATAAAATAACTTCACAATAATAAATTAGCCATAAAACAAAGGATAAAGATGAAATTATTATCTTTGACTACTCATTTTGATGCAAAGATAACTCATTATATCATTTCATAAGCTGTGACTGTGACAAATGCACAGGAAAAGATTATTATAATTAAAAAAAAAAAACATTTTACAATTCATGCCGGAAGGCTCATGAAGGGGTACAGAGAAGAACCACAAACAAAAATTTAGATATATTAAATGTGAATGATTAATTTTATTTTACATGTGAACAAATCAGTCACATATAATTTTATTTTACCAATGTGCAATTTGTTGGTACAACTTCCCACCTTCACATTCGGTAATTGTAATGAGAAGCCAGTAGCTCCAGGTATTGAAAAAAGCTTTACCAAAAATACTTCCAAATGAAGGTGGGATAAATGGTAAATGTGGTAGCAACTTCATTTCTTATATAGTAAATAGATAATAGAGTTATTTATACACAAATAATCCACCTGAGCTATCAATATCAAGCACCAAATTCTACACTACTATAAAATAATATATAGCATTACATTACACAACGATGAAGCATTCCATTTTTCAAACCTACATGGCCAAACTTGAAGGTGTAAAATAATGAATTGCAATTCATAAGTAAATATTCTCTTGATAAGCAGGCTTTTTAAATAATATCTATGTATAGACAAAAGTTACTGTTTGTCTCTAAGGAGAAACATAAATTTCTTGCAACTCATGGCTTGAAACAATGGTGGCCAAGTGAAGCACATATTAGGAACAAAACTTGTGCAACTTATCCATATTAGGAAACACATAAATGGGAAACTTAGATATTTATACACCAATACATCTTAGGAAGTAACACATTTATTAAATCCATCTTCTATTTCACTTGCCATGAGTCTTAGTAATCCGGAGAAAGGGGAGAATTTGTCTAGAATAGAATAGTCTTTAGTCTACGATTCCTTCAAGTAGTGAAACACAAGTGAGCATTAGTAATGAGAGAAACAATGCTTCAGATGTAGGATTGAAGAGTTGGATACCTCAATTATATCTTGCTTGAAGGATGGTAGTTATGGGGTAGGCAAGTGGATTTCTCAACTGTATGCTCACAAGAGTAATGGCACAGCAGAGAAGATGGATGACATGAAGAATATCGGTCCTTCACAAGTAGCACAGGGGAAAGCCAAGTTGACATTGGATTTACTCTATATGTATTATATAGTTTGCAAAATGGCTCATTTTCAATCTTACTAATGCAACATGCATTTGCTTGTATTTAAGTCTTGTATTGATGTTTGCCAAAAGGCATCTCCAATAGAAGCAACTCATTTGAGTTGTTTCATGCATTGAAAAATGAAAAAAGTGGTCTTCAGTGTGCCATATCAGCAATGAGGAACTCAAACAGAAATTTACTCTAATAGTAAAAAATTTTAAGAAATTCAACTTTTAGAATTTTTTTTTCAAATTATTTATGAACCAAATTAAAATTTTTATTAAAAATGACAATTGCACTACAATAAAAAAAATTATGAGAAAAAATACACAATAAGTAAAAAAAATATACAATAAGTAGATCTTTCAAGTTATTTTTTTATTAATTTTTTTATTTTTTTATTTTTAATTTTTTAATTTTTTAATGTTTTAATTTCTATTTTTTATTTCTTATTTCTTAAACCGTCTCTTTTTCTTCTTCTTCTCTTCGTGAGAGGGTTTTCTTCTTCCAACTTTACCTTCACCTTTCCTTTTCTCCACCTTTTCTTCTTCCAACTCCGTCTATCGCTGTCGCCGCTGCGCGCAGGTCCAGCCAGAACGTCCACCCGTGGCAGAACGTCCACCCGTGGCAGAACGTCCACCCGTGGCAGAACGTCCACCGGCACGCCTCCTCTGTCCACCGGCGCGCCTCCGCTATCCAACCGCGCGCCTCCGCCGTTCAACCGCGCGCCACCGCTGTCCAAACCCGCGCCACTGCCGTCCAAACCTGCGCCTCCGCCGTCCAATCCCACACCTCCGCCGTGCCTCCTTCAGTTCACAAAAATAAGCAACCGTTGCTTCACTAAGAAACCCTCTCTCCTCTCCAATGGTAAGAAACTCATGTTGGAGTTGCTTGATGAGCCAAGCAACTCCCATTGGAGTTGCTCTTAGACCTGTCAAATTCAGTAACAAGTTCATCGTCGAGGCCTCTACCAACATCAAATGATTTACGTGCTTATGAGAATTTGATTGTGACAAAACTATAATGGTGTGTTTGGACGAGAGATTTTACAAATTCAAGGAATTTTAAATTTTTGATTGAATTATTTTGATTTCAATTTCTATCATTCTTAAAATATTTTGTTTGAATAAGTCAATTTAAATTTCTTAAATTTTAAATTGTTAAGTTGGATATAATAATTTGATTCTACCATGATAAAATTGATTTTAAAAATATATTTATATGTTGAGATTTTTGAATTAAATTTTATAAAAATAAATATTAGATAATTTTTAAATATTTAATAAATTTAAAATTTAATATTAGATAATATTTAATAATTTTAAAAATATTGTTGAATATTTAATAATTAAAAACATGAAGAGGTAAGAGATAAGATAAAATATATAAGTGAAATAAAAAGAAAAAAAAATATGAGGAATTTCAAATTTTTACTTTTTCGGGAGAATTTCAAATTCTACTATTTCAAGGAATTTCACAAATACTTGAATTTCAAATTCTTTATAAATTCAACCGTTACTAAATGTGAATTTTGAACCCTCCTCGTATAAACGACACCGGTATAATTTTTACTAAGTGTTAGATTGAAAATAATCAAAGTGTTTATATTTTAGTATATTTTAAAATGTATATATTACGTCAATTTTATTTTATGAAAATGAAGTATCAAATCATCTTAGATTAATATAAAATTTGATATATATGATCTAAGTGATATGAACTTTCAATCTAACGGTTGAATTTTCAAAATTCACATTTAATATAAAGTTATTGAGCGGTGTAACACTTAGTAAAATTTACACCGGTGTCGTTTGAACCCTCCTCATATATATATATATATAGAGAGAGAGAGAACTCATGAACCTGTTTTCACAAACAGTAACTTCATTTTACAAATATCGGGCACCGTAAATATGAAATATGTAATCACTACTTACCATCATAGGAATATTCTGCTCCTTGGCGCAGT